GGCTACCCATACTGGGCAGAGAACAAGGTACATATTAGATGCTCAGTTAAAGCCCCGCCCCTTTACCCTCTCTCCAAGAGAGAGCGAGAGCCTGAGATTTCCGCAGACGTAACTTAGAAGAGCCAGCAGTAAAGGAGGTTGGTCTCAAAAGCTACAAGGAGCTTCGGCAGCAGTGACAGAGTATAAGTGCATCAGGACTGGGGGCCCTAAGGTGCTCTGGGGCGAGCCCGGCAATGCAGGCAAGTCCGAGCGGTGTCCGCAGGGCCCATGCCGCGCCCACCTGATGATGCAGCACTGGTCTCGGCTGTTGCGCTTCATGTTGAAGTAGCAGTTGTCGGCGATGGCGAAGATGTGGGGGGGCATCTCCCCGCTTGTTGTTGTACTGGCGGATGTGCTCGGGCGAGTAGATGGGCAGCAGCTGGTAGGGGTTCACGGCCACCAGGATGGAGCCCGTGTAGGTCTGCGGGCAACAGGGGGCGGGGAACTCGCTCGGGGAGCCTGCCCGTGTGGAGGCTCTCGGGCTCGGCTCTGCTCCTTCCCTCTGGAGGAAAGGGCACTGCCTTGGGTACCCCTGGCCTGGGTCTGAAACCTGCGTTCTTAGCAGTTGGGGAGGGGCCTGCAGACCAGCAGCAGGCTGCTCCCAGCAGGTGCTGAGTGAGCCCAGGAGAACAGTGGGAGGGAGGGAGGCCCCAGCCTGGGTTTCGTCTCTCCATCTGCAGACAGGCATATTAGGACTGCTGGGGGGTGAAAGGAGATGGTGCCTTGAAGTCACAGCACACGGCAGGGACCCCTCAAATGCTGCCTCCCCTTGCCACCGGCCTGGTGTGGACAGAAGTCAAAGCGAGCTGAAGGGCAGATAGTGCTGGTGTGAGTGCTGGTGTGGCTCTGCAGCCCCCGGGGCAGAGGAGGCCGCCACACTCTGGGGACAGGGCACCTCCGGCAGCGTCAGCACAGGGCTTGGTCGACCTGGGCTCCTCTGCAGGTGCACCGATCGGCCACCTGGGGCCCTGGTATGCAGGGATCGGCACGACCTGGCCCTCCTGTCACCAGGCAGGGTGAGCCATCAGGGCGGCCTGTCCCTCCTCCAGCTCCGCCTTCCCAGCTCGGTAAGGTCAGGCCCGTGTCATTGCTGTGAAGGATGGCCTGACATTGGGCCGAAGGCTGAAGAAAGGTGCATTCGCACAGGGGAGGTGCCCACCCTGCCTGCCCCTCCCGCACAGGGCTCAGCACAGGCACCAGAGAGAGTCAGGCCCCGGCAGCACGCCATAGCCCAGCGCAGCCCAGCGTGGCCATGCGGGGAAAGCCCGGTTACGGGCACTGTGAGCAGGGCCAGGTGGACCATGTGGAGCAGCCTGGCCTGGCCTCCAGTCCCAGCTCTGACCACCCCATGCCAGGGGGGTGCTGAAACAGGTACTGCCCAGGTCTCTCCTTTCTACTGAAGCCTCTTCCTCTGAGCAGCCCACAGCCAGAAGCAGATAAGTCTCACTGTGTCACCGACTGACTGCACGAAGAGCCCAGGCAGGAAGAGATTGGGGGGGCGGGCAGCAGCCGGGCATGGCACACGCGGGACCCTGCGGCAGCTCCACGCTCACTCACCCGACCTCCGCAGCTTGTCTGTGGTTGTGGCGGCCAGGCGGGAGGAAAGGGAACTGTCAGTGGGGCAGTAGGGCGTCTGTCACGAGCCCAAGCCTGGGGCTGGGTGGCATGCCGAGACCAGGAGGTGCAGACCCCCAGCCTACCAGGCCCTGCCCCCGCACCCGGGGCAGCTGTGGGAACAGCCTGGGGGAGCCTCGGTCTGAGTCTGTGAGGGGGCATGGCTAACACCTGCCCAGGGCACTGAAGAGACCCGGGGGCAGGACGTGATCTTTCCTGGGTGCCTGGAACTCGCCTGCTGTGGAAGGCCACATATCAGACCTTGCACATGAGCAGCTGTTCGTCCATTTTGTTCCCTTCCCCTAACATGGCTGTCTGCTTCTTAACCCTGCTTGCTCTTCCATGAGAAAATAGCTGTGCTAGCCATGCACAAAACTGTACCTGGGACGGCATCCTGGACCTGCTACTGTCTTGGCCACCTAGCCCCAAACCCTTTTGTTTAGCAATGGAACTGCTTGCATGGAAACCCCACTCTCCTCAGAAATAATGAACCTGCTTGATTCAGCTTCTGGAACTGCTTGCACAGAAACCCCTGGTAACTGACCCCTATGGAAAGGCTACTCCAACTTCACTCGGGGCTGCAGTTCTGACTCTCGGTTTCCCCCTCCCCTGCCCCCAGAGCCTCAGACTGTAGTCGCTGGCCAGCTCATAAAGAACCCCTTT